TTTTCTTTTAATGTAAAACAATGATGCTGCTATTTTTAACCATCTTCCTGCTCCCTCCCTTAATATGTTTTCATTATTCTAACCTATAGTGCAGAATGCTTTTCATGAAATATTATTAAAGAAGAGGGCTCATAAAAATTCATCCCAGAGTTGCTATCCAGGATTTATTGTGACATTAAAGATGTAATTATTAAAGTTTGTGCTTGGGATTCTGTTAAATGCTAAGCCTCAAAGAAAAGTTGTAGAAAATTGTGGCCTTCTGCTGTATTTATACAAATGATAATGAAGGGGAAGCTATTTCGGGCTTGCAGTGAGGCATCCCTAAAACAACCTCCACACTGAAATAATAAGGGATATTCCCTCTTCACTCTCCATAATCACACTCAATGTTGGTAGGCCACACTGTTGAATCTGTTGGACATTGTGATGGTCATATGGTTTTGAATTGTATTCACATGTCAGAAGATGCTAACAATAAGAATTGAAGGAAAATTTTTTTCTTGGACTTGAGAAGACAAATTTAAAAAGCTTATTTTAGCCTTTCATTCAGATTTCAAAAACATTTTCTGCCTAACAGGTCACAACCCCCCCTCCCCCCACCAAAAAAGTTGCCATTGAGTTTATTCTGATATATGACAACCCCGTGTGTCAGAGTAGAACTGCACTCCATTGGGTTTTCAAGGCTGTGACCTTTCAAAAGCAGATTGCCAGGCCTTTCTTCTGAGCTGCCTCTGGGTGGACTGAAACTGCCAACCTTTTGGTTAGCAGTCGAGGGCGTAACGGTTTCTGCCACCCAGGGACTACTAAGACAGTTACAAATCCTTCGTTCTGACTGAAAATAATTTAAATGGCCATTTGATAGTAACTGAGTACCTGTTCTTTGAAAAGTAACGTGCTAAAAATGAACAGAGTCTGAAAAGAAATTAGTCTAGGCTGGTGGAAAAGTAAAACAACTTTTAACGTATAAACTGATAAATTCTGAAGGGCAGATTATTTCTTGCTTGGGGCACAAAGGAACACTTTTGGGGGTGGCATTTCACCTTGCCTTTTAAGGGCTCATAGGACATCCTTAGGTAGTATGGCTAGAAAAGATGTGCTGTGTGTGTGAACAGAGAATAGTGATGTATTCATATTGGCTGGGTCAGTGGGCAAGCTGAAACCAGGAATTGAATTCCATGTCAATAATTTCCACATTATTCTTTAGGTAGTCAACTGGAATTCAGCATTTTCAAAAAGAATGGTAATATGATTCCAGTTCTCATTTGGAGAGATATATCCGTGTGTAGAAGGGATTCGAAGGGCAAAGAAATTCAATGGGAAATCAACAACAAAAAAATCTGGGTGTGAAGGAGTGAGAGAAGTTGTAAGAGAGGAGAAGGGAGCTTCCAAAGCAGTTAGATTAAAATTTATAGGATTTATCAACAGATTGAATGTGGGGGCAAGTGAGATGCAGCAGAACATGGTGGTCCCAAGACTGAGCTCCTGGTATAATAAACAGGAGGGATAGGTGAAGAAAGGGTCTCTATTTTCGATTAATTACACACAATGTGCATGTGAGCCATTCATTTAACTCCAACAGTCTGAAAGGAAGCAACAGAATTTAGGAGGACAAAAGGTGAAGGCTAACATTATGGATTTGAGAATTATATGCAGAGAAGCAGAAATTGAAGTCATGTGGTTGAATGAAACTACTAAGGGAAAAAAGAGACAGCGAAGATTCTATAGATAGTAAAGATACATTTCTTTCATCTTTTGAATTGCTTTCCAGGAGCTGAAGCCCTGGTGGCGCAGCAGTTAAGAGCTCGGCTGCTAACGAAAAGGTTGGCAGTTCGAATCTACCAGCCGCTCCTTGGAAACCCTATGGGGCAGTTTTACTCTGTCCTAAAGGGTCGCTATGAGTCAGAATCAACTTGATGGCAATGGGTTTGGCTTGGTTTTTGGTCCAAAAACTCACTGCTAAATTTCAAACCCAATTTCAAAAGTCTTCAAATTTTCTGACACAATGACTCTTGTCCCTATCTTTAAAGCTTGCCACCCCTCAAGGCTTCAAGTTTGAGTCACTTGTATAATGTTTTTGAAATCCTATGTATTTGCCAGAAGCACATTCTAACATCTCTGCAATTGAGCTGCGTCTTAGTCAGCGGATGATGTGTCATGGTTTAATTGGCAGTGTGTTTTCATTCTTGGCAGTATATTAAAAATGGTGCATTTTGTAATCAATGATGTCTGAGATTTGATGAAAATGGTACTTCTGATGGTTTTCCATCTTAGTAATTTGGTTTTCCATGAAGGCTTTTACTGCCTTCTATCCTCCCCCCTCGCCCCGCCAAAAGGGGACAAACAATCCACTTACAGAGGAGAAGTACAATACTGTATGGCCGTTCTAAGTGGTCAGGAATGGGAGGCTGAAAGTCCTTTTTGGGCTGAAAAGAGGGAAAACAATAAGAAGTGAGATTCAGATGTCCTGGCTCCGTAATTGCAACAAAAAGTCCCTGGGATGGGAGAAGTAAGAAGTGGTAGAAATCCAGATAAGTTTGGGGAAGGCCGAGTATAAAGCCGGCTTGCTTTTGGGGACATAGCTCCAGCAAACTCTAAGCCTCTTAGAGAAACCTCCATGGCATTTGAAAACCACAGCACTAGTAGCTGACAAGTGGCCAAAGGAGGTATTTAGATGGATGGACTTGAGCTAGCCATCTCTGGTTCCCCACATCCCACAAAGCCCCTGGGGGATCCAGATGTTCCTGCATATCTCAGACGAATGCTAAAATAATCTTGGCCCAGGATGAGGACTCTCTGAGCAGGGACCTTGAGACACTGGGCTAGAAGGGTCCTTTTTGTAGGGCTGGAGAAGAGGGCAAACAGGACCTCCCAACAGTGGGGAGACCTGGCGCTCCTCCCCATTACCAGGAGGACACACAAAGATCCCCCTGTACCCAGATGCCATCTTGGGAGAGAGGCAGGGAGGCCTTCTAAATGGGGGTGGGGAACCAAACCCATTGCCATGAAGTTGATTCCAACTCATAGTGACCCTATAGGACAGAGTAGAACTGCCCCATAGGGTTTCCAAGGAGCGGCTGGTGGACTCAAACTGCTGACCTTTTGGTTAGCAGTGGAGCTCTTAACAAATGCACCTAAAGAGAACTCTAACGGGGGATCTGACTCTGCAGTAATTGAGTATGACCCTAAAATAAAGTGGTTTTGGAGCTAGAGGAGACGGATTTAAATGGCAAGTTTCAGTTTTCTTTGTAATAAGTAAGAATGCAGGATTTGAGTGCCGTATGAAATTATAACAGAAAATAAAACATCCTTTTTGTTGCAGTGTTAGGCTGTATGTACATTCTAATCCTACTATAATGGAATCTTCGGGGGAGTAAGATGTTTCAAACACCAAAAGTACTCTGGGTTAAAGAAAATAATTGGATCGGGATATAACTCTGGAAAATGTAAATATTTATCTTTACATGGTGTAGGGGTATGCGAAACAAGAGAAGAAATGATCATAATAACGGGGAACTAGGAATGCTTCTCAGAAAGAAAGGAAAAAGCAGGCAAGTGATGAATCCAGCCAAGCACTACAGGATGCTGAGATACACTGAGCTCTCAGAAAAGCTGTTCAATGTGATGAGAAGGGGCCATTTGGAATCTCCGAAAAATTGGCAATCCAAATGTGGCAATGTTTTAATAACCATCATTTTTCATGGAATGTTAGTGCTAAAAGATGTGCAGTCCGGCCCCACTGGTTTACAGATAAGGAAACTAGGAATCAGAGAAACACTACAGAAGTCAGTTCAAATTATAAATATAAGAAAAGCAAGTACATCTGGCAGCCAAACAGAGTCACGTAGGCTTGGTGTAGTTTGGAGGAAAAGTGTGCTGGGGGCGTGAATAAGCCCCCTTTGAAAACAATGAAGAGATCACTGATGTAAGAGGCAAAACCTTTACTGGGATGCATCGCTGGAAGCAAACACTCTGATGGGCGCAAAATGTGTTTTAATTTTTTATTAGAGAAGTTGGAAGTTTAATTTCAATATTGATGGTAACAATTTTCTCTGCTTTGTTCAGTGGAACACACAGAATCAATTTGTACAAGCATATACAACAATTCAGTTGGTGTTGTGTGCAGTAAACTCAGTAATCTGATTAGTTCTAGACTACCAGGTTTCCATGCGCTCCTCTGGCTTTGGTGGCATGGCTCGATTCCCAACGGAATACGTTTTCATGCACTGTCTGCAACGCAACTACAGTAGGCTTAGAGACCATGCAGATTAACACGGTAGCAAATTGTTTGGGTATTTAACAGACATAAAAAGGTTATTTCCTGATATGAAATTCTGAAAATCTGCATAAATATTTTTTGTGTAAAATTAAATTAGTTATGTATTTTTTCAAACTAGAACTTGAAGTATCAAGAATGCCCACATAATTCATATACACATATATATAGACTTTTTTTCATTATGCTAAAAGTCTTGAGAGTCAAGGTATATTCTGTGCCATACGTTTCTTTAGCCAGTATTTATTTGGCATTAGATTAACTGTGTCTGTACGGATTAGTCTTAATTGGTGCTTGTGTGTCATGCAAACATAGCTCTAGTATTCCTGTTTACTAATCTTGTCATGTGGCAATACGTAGATGATTTTGCTCTATAACAGTGTGAATTAAGGAGTATAAATACTTTATACATGGTCGCATTTACAAAGGTTTGCCAATAACCACTTCATGATCTTTACGATATAGTAGTGAACTGGAACATCTGGAATCTGCAGAAGCAATTCCTATAAAGCAATGTCAGATGTCAACTCTTAAATGTGCCTAACAGAGTTCCCCTTTGTGCACTGATGAGTTCTGGCACAGGTACACTGTTCTATTTTTCTATTGTTCTAGTAATTTCCACAACTTTTACAGGAAATTAGCTTCACATAGCATGATAGAGACATGGCACTTACTGAAGAGGTAACTTAGATGTAGAAAAACTCTGCAAAATTATTTGTCTAGTAGACCACTACTTCCACTGATGAATTTGTAGACAGAGTTTTTGTTGCTGTGGTTTCTTTTTCACTAGTGCACGTGCTTGCTATTAAATTGCCGATGCACTATTTTTGCTGCAGCTCAAACATGTCCTAATGCATCACGAAGCAGAATTGTTAATACAAAGCTCGCCTACTTGTGATGGTATTTTATAGCAAACATGTTCAAGTTGTATTATCAATGGTTAAACTCTGCCTTATTGGAATATTCAATTTTTGTGGATTTGTAGCTACTTTTGGTTGACCAAGAAAATTCAATACTTGAAGTGTTAAACAGAAATATGTAAGTCATTCCAAGTGTCTATGTTTTCAGGTAACATCTTGTTTACACGGAAAAGAAACACAAAAGAAAACTGCTTTTTTCCATGGAATTTGTGTTCAGAAGTTTGGGAGGGATGTTCTGATGCTGTGTAGTTTTGCTGTCTCAGTTTGCATTTTGGAGTTTCACACTACTGTTGCTGGTCTGCGGTCCATCTCGGCTTCCAATTTCACCATCTGCTGCATCTCCTTCGCCTGCAACGTCAGAAACACGGCCTTACTGAGGGAAATCCTCTCCTGAAGGTCCTTAACCCTGCCCTCTTCTCCCCTGAATCTGTCGCTACTGACCAGCAGCCATCCGCATCACCTGGGACCTTGTTAGAAATGTAGATTCTCAGGCCCCACCGCAGACCTACTGAATCAGTATCTGCATTTAAACAAGATCTCTAGGAAATCCTAGGCGGACTGGTCTACACAGTGGCAGGGAAAACATTTGAAAAGAGGTTGAGCCAGTCTCCTGATATTAGGACCATGTCATACCCAATTGTTTTTGTTTTGATTTAGTTTCTACAGACTGAGATGTGTACATAAAATTTTTTTTTTTATCACTTTTAGGATAAGTGTTGCTTATGCACAATCCAATCCCCTAATAGCTTGAAATTTACTTGAAAGTAATTTCTAAGAATCCAACTGTTAGAGATGTTCAGGTAGGAGCATATTGCATTGGCTCAGTTGGAGTGTTCTCCAAGTAGAACGTTACAGGAGTACGTGGGGTTCCTGGAATCCTATTGTCCACAAAACGATCCCTATGTGTTCTCACTTCTCTGGGGTAATTCATTCTTTACAGACTACCAGGAAGTAAGCTGTGGTGAATTCAATCTCATGAGTTGAGGCTATGTCACTAGAACAACCAGCTAGTTTAGGGGTGGGAAGAGGTCAGATGGGGGCAGGGTCTGGTGACAGATAATTGCTTGGCAACATAGGGAAAAATCAATTGGTTCGTTTCAACTTTTACTTTCCAACTGGAAGCCTGGATGCTTTGACACACAGGCTCAGTCCAGATCTGCTACAGCCCAATGCATACATCTTAGAGAAAAGATAAAGCACTCTTTCCTTTTTAAGTAACACACCACTTTGAAATCAAGGACATCTAAGAATGGAAACATGGAGCTATAAAGATATAAATCAAAGGAGGATTCTGTAGTACTCTGATTCCATGATTCAGGTATGCTTAGAAGGGTCTGTGGGAGGGTCTGGTCAACTCTGCAGATCATACGACCAGTTGCCTTTGAGTCAATTCCAACGGATGGTGACCCCATGTGTTTCAGAGTAGAATTGCACTCCATAAGGTTTTCAATGGCTGTGATCTACTAGAAGGAGATCACCAGGACTTTCTTCTGAGGAGCCTCTGGATGGCTTTGAACCAATAACCTTTCCATTAGTAGCCGATCTCTTTACTGTTTGTGCCACCCAGAGACATACAATGAGCATATAAATGTCTCAAATGAAGTTCTGCTACAAAATTAGCTTTACCAATGGACCATACAGTGATTTTCTTCTTCTTTTTATATTGTGGATTTAGTTGTTATTTTGGTGAGGATGGATATAATAACACCAAAGAATTATATCTTTCTGCTTAAATTTGGGATGAATGTTTCCTTCTACCCAGAGATTTCCTTATGCCTTAAGTATAATAATACTCTAATAGAGAAATGAAGAAATGGAGAAAAATATACAAACATGAAGCTAGGACACAAACAGTATTCATAAGAGATGACAGTGGAACATTATCAGCACTGAAAATTAAATGCTTTTATGTTCAGAAAACAGTAGTAAGATTCCCTACGCTCTTCCCCTTCAGTGTTTAAAGACAGTATGGACCACAGTTTAGAAATAATTACATGACATTAAAAGATTATTCCAAGATCTCGTATGAGCAGGGTGACCATTCATTCCTATTTGCCTGAGACAGTTTCAGTTCATGTCTGAAGTCCTGGCTATTAGGAACAGCACCCCTTTTCACGCTCAAACTATCCTGGTTTGGATGATATATTGTATGGTCACCTTCCTTATGAGGGGTGATTAGGGTTCTTGGCAGACCAGACTTAGCAGAAAGCATGACAGTGGTCATTGTATAATGTCTCTGCATACAGACCATGAATCTCTCAATACAAATCACCAATTAACTTTTAGTAGAGTGCTTTAAAAATTGATTAGTGCCTTAATAAAACTGTCTTTGGGAAAGACTGACTCGGTGACCCAGTCTTAGCTGTGATTGGTCCATACGACAACTGAATAAGGTTGTTTTGATGCTTGGGTGTTTATTCATTAACATGACCTGGGTTTCCCGGGTCTGCAATTGGAACCACTGGCTAAAACTCCAACAGAAGTCATTCTTTCTCTAAAGATTTTGGGCATTTCGGTTTGATATTACATCAGAAATCCAAGCATGAAATAATCAGGCCTTTCAATCCAGACCCTTGCATATTAATTAGTTATAAGCAGATGTGAATCATCAATGGAGACTGCACCAAGAATACTGACGGAATTGAGAAGGAAAGCAATATCTTGCTTATTAGAGTTTGAGTCCTACCTTGCGTTTGGGACACTGCGTGACAGGATTTCAAAAGCTGTTTGTACAAAAATAGTAATGTCAAAATTGAGTCATACATACAAAACAAAGAAAATAAATGAATACTGAAGTGAATCTGAGAAATGAATGCAAAACCATATACAGAAAAGCAAAACGCTAAGAATAAAACATGTGTACACCCATCAGTGACAAACTTTCCCCGAGCTGATCGCAAAGGAAAAAAAAGAACAAAACAAAACAACCGATGCCTCTCATCCCCAACTCTGCCTCTCTTCTGTGGTTGTGAGGGGAGAACGAGACCCTGAGCAAGACCCCTTGCCTCTCTTTATTAAATGATAGGACTGATGACAAAAATCAATTTCTAAAACTTGGGTGTGACAATAATGAAGTTGTTAGTGTTGGAGATGGTACATGTCAAGACAAATGAGGTCCCATGTGGATGGGAGGTCTACAGGAAAATTTAAGTAGGAAAAAAATCCCCAACCGTCAGATTGTTAAATGACTAATTGGCTGACAATAAAGGCAAGGCCATACAGTAGCTTAAAAACCAAGTGGAGGTTCGGATCCAGAGTCAGGACCAAAACAGGTTTAGAACTTCAGTTGTTTCTGCCAGTGTCCTCAAAACTGGTCTATCTAATGAAGCAGATCCATTCCATGCTGTGTTTAGGGGGGACTGGCAGAACTTCCAGGAATAGGATCACAGGAAAGCAGTAAGAACCTTCAAGGGAAATACTAGGGGAAAATGTTAAAACGATTTCATCTTTGGCTTCGAAACAAACAAAAAAAGTCTTGGGGTTTCACAATGGTTTGGAAAGTTTGTTCTAAAAGTTTGGAATTGTATGGAGACAGGGAACTGTTTTCTGCTAATAAAATGTCTAACTGATTATGAAGGGAGTTCATACAGAGTGCCAGAGCTTGCCTTGTGTGAGGGCAGAAATGGAGTCATTGTCTGTATCTTTTTGCACTGTGCCCGTGACAGTGTTTCAACACACAGCATAACTGTCCATTCAGAGCTTTCGGACCTTCAAATTCCCTAAAAATAAACTGATCTGGGATTGAATTTGTTATTGAACGGGTCATATTTGTAAAGCAAAGCTTAACACAGAAATTCAAGTCCAAATTCTACATTTGCCAGGAGCATCAATATGCTATCCTGAATTTCTTCTCATTAAGTCTCATTAAATCTTCATTGAATCTCAAGTCTTCTCAAGTTCTGCTGTTTCCTAAGCTTCTGTGACTCAATGTATCAGTTGTGGGAGGTAGATTATTATTCATCTTCATAAGCATTAGATGAAATTTTGGGACAAAAAGCCCCCACCCTCCCGAAATGATCCAATCAATATAGATATCACTAACCCAATATTTTACTGCAAGAATTTTGGAGTAGTGTCACTACCTATGTATAAGGATAAATGTTCAAAGTGTTTTTTTTTTTATTATGTACTTAAGTTCTGACACAAAAACATTAAGTATCTGTCTTCTGTAGCTCTGACACATACCACTGTTGTAGTGATGAGTAATTTTTAGCACACTTACATTTTTGAGCCAAACTTGTTGCTAAGTAACAGTAATCTCTAAGAAGTTTCTTAATTTAGTTAACCGAAACAGAACTGTGCCTTACCTTTCATTACGCCCTTCTTCTAAGGAAGTTTTAAAAAATACTTCTCGAAGGAATCCTTGTCCCCACCCATCCCTGGATTCTCATTCTCCATCACTGATATGGGTGCTGATGCTCTGGAGATGGTGGCTTTACCCTTATTCATACTCATTCTACTCGCAACCCTGGAACACTTTTTTTGGGGGGAACACTTTTTTGGGGGGAAACACTTTTTGAGAAGTGCTTTACGAGCAAAAATATAACCTAGGTAACTTGTATCAGAACATGATACATCTATGAGTTAGTCAAATGAATTGGACCCACAGGACAAGGAACATTTAGTGTCCCCTGTGGGAATTTGTGGACCGTTCATGAACAGAAGCATCTAGCTGAAAGGAAATGTGGAACATAACTCAGAAGTATGTCGATGAGTAAAACTTCTGTTCACCATAGTAAAGAACCAGAAATTGGATTTATTTGTTGCCCAATTAAAATGCAAAAAAAAAGATTCTACTGTTTTGTTTTGCTTTCTTAAAGATACTTTTTAGCATAATTCCTATTTAAGGGTTCTTCAACAGGAACCGTTTACTCTGAAAAAAATATATACTTGAGACAGAATTGCTTTATAGATGGGAGGAAATAGGAAAGAACAATGTAGTATAAGCACGTATTTCCTCAAAACCTCTTCAAAGTTTCTAAATTGAAGTAAATTATCTACAAATAAATAGCTTCCAAACAGGACTTAAAGAGTGAAATTTAAACTGAGATTAAAATTTAAGCTGTTACTGAGGGTCACTTTGCCATATGAACTAAGGGTATTTCCATCAAATTGAAACGACAGTGTGCAAGGCTGCAACCTACTTGGGATGCAGTACACCTGTATCTATACTATGCTCCAGGTAAACGTACACATTTATCTTGGTGTTGGTATATGCCTGATGGCCTAACTAAACTGTTGGATTTTGGGGCGACTTTTTATTGTATGTCTTTTTATTTAGAGTTTTGATTTGCTGGGAAAAAGCACCAAGACTATGGATGGCATCAACTCACGTTAAGTGGTTTGTAAACTTATTGTGGTTCATGCTGTTAGGTCCCACTCATAAGCCCTAGGAAGGTTTTATAACTTTATTTTTAGATTGAGGTTGTAAATAGGTGGTTTCTCTCATCATTCGCTTTTAGACATAATATCTCTTGCCAGTAGGTTGCAAATTACAAAACTCAAAATGAAAAGAGAGAAATAATTTGAATCCTCTGTTTTCTCCTTCTTTTACTTTCAGTAATGTCATTTCTTAAAACCAATTGCCATAGAGTCAATTACGACTCACAGTGACTCTACAGGACAGAGCAGAACTGCCTCAGAGGGTTTCTAAGGCTGTAAATCTTTACGGAAGCAGACTGCCACGTCTTTCTCCCGTGGAGGAACTGGTGGGCTTGAACTGATGACCTTTCAGTTAGCAGCCAAGTGCTTTAACCACTGCGCTACTAGGTCTCTTCTTAGAACCCCCACAAGATACTCAAATGATGACTTTATTCTTTTTTACCCACAGCCACATTCCTCTTCTACTTCAGAAAAGAGTACTTTCTGTTCTTTTTCAATGAAAAAGGGAAAAATCAGTAATAGACACCAAATTCTTCTAGCTACTTTTCCATGCCACCACTCAGGCAGAAGGGTCACTGAAGGCCACAGGCTTTGAATCCCGAAGCTGGCTGGCTGCCTATGTCTTTTCATGCTTTTTGGGTAAAATACCTGCTCATTCTGTTTCTCTAGGAATTCTAAGTGTTCAAGCTGGACTTTTTTCAATTGATCCATTTCTTTGGACTGCTTCATTGCAAGCTGCAAAAAAACAAAACAATTCTGATGAAATTTGGGTTGTAATCTTAAAAATTATGGAGGTAGGATGACTTGTAAGTTTATAATTTATGGGGGGGAAGGTAATAACAAAAAAAACATAGTCTAAAAACTGAGAGTTGAAACCTGTAATTCTTACTGAGATTTTTTTCTGCTAAATTCTTAGAAAATAATAGAATACTTACTCATGGTTAAAACTTGGCTTCCTTTTCTGGATGATAAGTTGGTGTCAAGTAATTGACTTAAAGATTTTGGTAAGAGATTAGCTTTCAGGGAACAGCGAAGAGAAGTTGGAATGTTTAATGTACAGAGAAATCAAATGATGCAAATTAGCTAGAAGTCTGGTATCTAAGCATGAGTTGTTTATGGTTTTTGAGAGGAAGAGTGCCAAGAAAATATAAAATACTTACTCTCTTTCTTTCTTCCAGAAACTTTTTAGTGTTGCTGCTGTTTAACTCCCTGACCCTCCTGAAAGTAATGGGTACAAATAATAGTCGGCATGGCAGTGAATGGTATTAATAATACATACAGTAAGAAAGAGTTATACTCCATTTAATCATCTGGATGGGATTTTTGCTTCCTTTGACCTAATTTTTATTGTAAAAATTTCAAATATACAAAGCACAGAGAAAAAATTTAAAAACACCATGTACCTACCACTCAGATTAACCAGTATTAATATTTTGCCATGTTTGCCTTGTATTTTTTAAAGGAAATAAAAGGTTGCAGATATAATTAAAAGTCCCCTTTGTACCCTTCCTGATTCCATTCCCTCCTCTCTCTCTTCCCAAAGTTAACTGCTATTCTGTATTTGGTGTGGACCTTCCTGCCCAAGTTTTTATATTTTTACTACATATGTATGTGTCCGTAAGTAATACACAGCAGTGCTTCTAAACTTCCACGTGCATACACATCATCTGGAAATACTACTAGAAATTCATATTGCTGAGCCTAGCCTCAGAGAGTCTGATGCAATAGGTCTAGGTTGGGTCCAAGCTTCTGCATTTCTCACAAGCTCTGAAATAATGCTGATGGTGCTGGTCTGTATTGTTTTGTGTTTTCAAAATTTACCTGAATGGCAACATACTCTGGGTATCTTTCTATAACTTCTCGCTCAGCCTTATGTTTTAGAGTTATATTGATGTTTCAAACTATTCCCTTATTTTTATCTGCTATATGGATTTTTCCACTTATAAATGGATGGCAGTTTTCCCATTCTGTCTTTAACAGAAGGTAGGTTATTTCCAAACAATGCTACAATGATCTGGTGCATATGGTCCTGCAATGCTTGGCACTGAGCAACCAACCAAATACCAAACCTATTGCCCTCGAGTCGATTCTGACTCATAGCGACCCTATAGGACAGAGCAGCACTGCCCCATAAGGTTTCCAAGGAGGGGCTGGTGGATTTGAACTGCTGATCTTTTGGTTGGCAGCCATAGCTCTTAACCACTGCGCCACCAGGGCTCCAGATAAGTATCTGTTGAGTAGATAAATGAGTAACGTTTAGGCATGTCTTTCTGTGCATATGGACAAAGGTTTCTCTAGAGTGTATAGGAGTAGACACTGCTTGGTAAAGTATGAATGGCTTCATCTTTATTCCAAAGAGGTTGTCCCAATTTGCATTCCCCTCCACAGTGTATGGGTGTTACCCTTTTCTCCATTTCTTCACCTCCTCCCAGAACTATCAGACATTTACATTTTGTCAGTTGGTTGGTTTTATAAAATGGCATCATGCTGCATTTTAATTTGCATTTCTCTAATTATTGGTGAGATGGGTGGTTTTCATGACTGAATGGACCTATAACTGATTGATTTCCATAATATTTATAGAGCTATTCAAGTTTTCTCTTTGTGTTTCAGTCAACTTTGGATATTTACATTTTTTTAAGGTAACTGTCCATTCTTTCTAAGTTTTCAAGTTCATCACTAAGAGCGTCTGTAATAGTATTGGTTTTTAAATATGTTTACTATATCTGAGGTTACTTCCCCCTCTCAGTCCTAATATTACTAATTTGTTCTTTCTCTTTTTCTTGATCAGTCTTGATGGAAGTTTACTCATATTATTCTTTTCCAAGAGCAAACTTTTGGTTTTGTTGATCTTTTCTATTGCTTTTTGTTTCCTATTTCCTGCTGTGGCCAACATAAGAAAGGAAGTCCAGGTATCCAGTGAGCATCCACAAACGACCATGTAGACAGGGGAGCTGAAACATGGCATTACTTTGTAGCTGCAAAATTCTCTAGCAACTCAGCCTTATGGGTTGACAGAGCACTGAATGGCCCGAAGTCCTAAACTTTGTGCCCGTGTTTTAACTCCAGGAACTGATCTTCACTTTTGTGAGGCATAAAACACAGCCTTTCTGTGGGTCATGCACTTCAACGGAGGGCTGCTGTGGAAGGGGGCAGTCCGAGTGCAGCCTGCAGCCTTTCCTGGTCACCCAGGAATGAACCTGTGCTTAGGACCTGATGTGTTGGCCTGGCTTTTTAGATGAGATGTAAGTGTGGGTTGACTCCTTTTCTGGGGTGTCTTGACTCAAAATCTGTCTCATAGCAGATGGTGGCCCATCATCACATTCCTCCTCTCTTGCCCTGAGCACAGGTCAACATTCCCAGGAATTTCTTAGCTAAGTGTGTGCATTATATGGCACCTGGCCAACACCACTGCTACCTGTTCCTGGTGGGGAGTGAATGGGGTCCTTCTCCTGCAGCACAAGATAGGTATGTGCAAACAATCTCTCTGTGTCAGCTGTAGAATGAGACTCACTGACATGGGGCACTGCTGCCCACTATTGAAGATGATCTTGCGCTGTCTCTTCTCTTTGTGAGTAAAGTATTGTTCCGTCTGATGCCTGTGTGTGAGTTGTGTATTTCTTGGTGATTCCTGATACCTGAAAACTATGGAGTGGGTTACTATCCTCCATGTGATGGGACTATCCCTGGAGGCAGTAATGGGTGTCACTTGCTTGACAGCTACCTTCTGTCCAGCTTTATTTCTCTAAGAGAAGGTATCTTGTCTGTCTCTGATTACTGGTGGACTAACACAGCCTCTTAGCTGTGGCGCTAACTGCATTTGGATTCTCAGAGGCTTCCAGTGGCGGATGATGAGCATTACAGGAGAAAGTGCTATTTGTGATCACTGGGAATCAAGTAGCTGCTGTTAACACCCTCTCTTGGGTAACACATCTATTGATTCCATGCTCAGATCAATTTTACTAGCTGTGGCTAAAGGGTTGCACTTGAGACTTTCTCTAGGGGTCACGTAAACAGTCCACTGCCAATCCCAGGTGGCCATGACTGACTAATACAGAAGTACAAATGCCAGAAACCCTTGCCTCAAAGAGGGACAAATCTGTGGTGCAGTTCATACTCCAGAGCTGCCTGTGGGATTAGGCTGCAGAAGGACTCCAGCTGAGACTGTGTCCTTGCTCAGCCCCTTCCCTGTCCCCCTCCTCCTTCCCCCACCTCCCTTCTCCAGAGAGCCCTTCCTCAGTAAATCAAATCACATGTGCTTGAATTCCTGTCTTACTCTTTGTTTCTAGAAAAACCAATCTAAGACAAGGATAAGCCAGAAAAACTGGGTGGAGGCTTTTGAGAGGATCCCTGGTGTCAAGGGCAGTACAAGGCAAATCAAGGGAAGAAGTCCTCCTTAATGCTGCTTCTCAGAACTGTCCCATCAAAGAACAGCCTGACACCTGAGCAGCACTAGCCAAGGAGACATGCTGCAGGATGACCCAATGGAATGTGGGAAGGCTGTTTCTGAATTACATTAATTATGCCATATTGGATACAATTTTATTAGTAAATGAGCACATACATATTGAATCTAAATTTATTTTACCAATGGTTGTAAATTATCAGAAAACTTTGGAGACTCCTGTTCTACAGTAATGATAATAAATCTTTTTAGCAGTTAAAACAGTAGAATTCTTAGTCAAAACAACAGGTTTCTTCATATCTGAAATGTCAGTATGTGGGTATATACAGACACATACATTTGAGAATGTGCCTTCAAGTCAGTGCAACAGTCACAGAGTAAGTGTGCTCAGACTTACCTTTCCCGTTCTGCTTTATTCTTGATAGATTTATCTTGGCTGATGGCTTTGCTATTTTCCATAGAAATCTTAGCCTGGTGTGCTCGCATTTCTTTGCTTTCCCTGGGTATTGAAAACAAACCAACAAACAGGCAAATAAACCAACAAATTCCACATGTACCATTAGGTCTAGGTTTACCTCACTTTTTTTTTATTATTGATCTGATTAAGTTATTCTGTATTTTGTGAAAAGGAGGTAAGGAGCCCAAACCCATCTAGATGTTGTATCCTTGAAGGATGGTGAGTCATCTCATGGTGAAATGACATGGATGGACGGCGAAGGAGAGGTGATGCTATTTTAGTTCATTAAATACACAGATTTTCCAGCTTTGTCCCACACTGTTTGGGACCAGATGGACTGGAAGAAAGAGAGGATGTTCTAACCCTTACAAATGACCTTCTTGTTTTCCGACAGCCTGTGGGAATGAAGGGGACTAAATGGTTTAAGCCCTGTTGTTATTGTTATTAGCTGCTATCAAGTTGGCCCCTGACTCACGTCCATCTCATGCACAACAGAACCAAACGCTGCCCACTACTGTGCCATCCCTATGATCTGCTGTGGATCAGACTGTCGTGATCTATAGGTTTTCACTGACTGATTTTTTGGAAGTAGATCATCAGGCTTTTCTTCTTAGTCTGTCTTAGTCTGGAAGCTCTGCTGACTCCTGTTCAGCATCATGGCAACATGCAAGGCTCCACTGACAGATGGGTGGTGGCTGTGCATGAAGTGCACTGGCTGGGAATCGAATCTGGGTCTTCCCCATGGAAGGTGAGAATTCTACCACTGAACCACCAATGAACCACTGCTTAAGGATAGGAAGTAGCAAAAATGTATGCCTGCCAGAGTGACCACTCATGGTGTGTGCAAATGCACAAGGGTGCACAACAAACACTTTTATCTCTAGATTAATTTATGTGTACATTAAAGACATTACAATATTAAAATGGGTATTATTAACAAAGAATTTTTTCTAGAAGTTATGGAGGGCTCCTTAAACCACTGGCTGGAAAGGAGTAAATGAGGCATTAGGTGACTTAAGAACTACTATTCGTTCTACATCAAAAGGGACAGATAAACTGAGGTGGCGAGTTCTTCGGTTAGCTACCTTAAGTCCACACAGGGGCAGAAATAGGTATAGAAACTTCTTGGCCCAAGAAAATAGTTCTCAATTTTTTGCATTATTTGTGTAATTGACCCTTTCTTTATTTATCCATTTATTTATTCAGCAAATACTTATCAATGACCAAATGTCGTTCACAAGTGCGAGGAAAGGCAAGGATTTTTAACCAGAACAATGGTTATAATGGTGAAAAAGACAGATCCATCAGGTGATCGGGGAAAAGCTTAAATGACGCTGTTGCTTTGTGAAAAATGCTTCTGCCATGGATTTATTTTTTAAGGCCAGTTAGTAACCAGATGGTGGTCTCTTCAAATGACTTCTTAAGCAATGCGAGAATTAATTTACTTTTTTTTTTTCCTTTTGTACAATGCCCACTCTTGTGGGCTAATTTTTTTTCTTCATTCGACTACAAAAAGTAAAATTTGAAAAGAGGTCAAATTTACTGGCAGTGCCGTCTTCTGTGAAGTATCTTTGCCCTGGTGGTGGAAGTGGTTAAGTGCTCGACTGCTAACTAAAAGGCTCGCAGTTCAAACCCACCAGCCATTCGGTGGGAGAAAGACGTGGCAGTCTGCTTCCGTAAAGATTTACAGCCTTGGGAACCCTATGGGCCAGTTCTACTCTGTCCTATGGGGTCGTTATGAGTGCTAATTGACTTGATGGCAATGAGTTATCTTTGAATAAGGGTAGACACCTAAAATCCAGTATCACAGCAATGGTCAAAGGCAGAATGATGAATAGAGCTTTCTGCATATTGAATTGAGAGCATCTCCTAAAGGGAGGGGAAAAAAAAGACAACTTCTAATCCTATAAAGCTAAACCAAAACCAAAAAAAACCAAACCCATTGCTGTCGAGTCGATTGTGACTCATAGAGACCCTACAGGACAGAGTAGAACTGCCTTACAGGGTTTCCAAAGATCGGCTGGTGGATTATAAACAGCATGCTTTAAAATGGATGGGGTGGAGAACATTATTCCACAGGAAATGTAGTAAAGCAAACTTCATTTAGTTACCTCAGACGAGAATGGGACACTAAGGCAAAAACATTTTATGCTCTTATGGCTGTATCTATCGCTCTAAAATATGCTTGGGAATCTGGGCATGTAACCAGATAATTTATGCATTTGGCATTTTCTTATTTATTTGTATTATGCTTCTATTTTCTACTCTTTTGTGCATATCAATAGAACTTAAGTGTGGCCTATAGTAGGGCTATGGTTTGGAACACGTTATTAATTACTTAAAATAGACAGTGACTTGGGCAATGTGGCTATAATTTGAATCACAATACACTGTATGATGCAGCCAAGTGCTTCATTTCTTCAGAGAGAGGCCTGTGTCTCACATGTGGTGGCTGAATTTCCCGTATGTTATTTTAAGTGATCATGTTTTATAAATTCTGGCCTCCACTTCCAGTATCTGGCTTGAAGTGTGTTTGCTATAATACGATGGCAAGGGGGGCTTCTGTGGGCCTCTTACAGTGGCTCCTTAACTCACAGGTAAGGAATCCTTGCCCAGGGAAGTCAGGGAATGAGCCTCCAATGAAGGCAGACCTGGGCAAGAGCTGGGTGGGTGAGTCGCCACCTCCTACCTCTCCAGGTAGAGACAGTTACCCACTCTGGTCCTTCCTCTGGGTGCTTATAATCTGACTAATGCTCAGTTCCCACTGCCAGGTCGTCTCTGTGTTAACGGAACCTTTCCTGTCAACTTTCACCATCTTTCTTTTTCACGGAACTCACACCAAGGTAAATATCTGCCCAGTGCCTCTTAAGCTTTTTACCTGTTGCCCTCATTCCACAGCTTCCCGTTAGTTATGTTTGTCTTGGGGTTTGCTGAACTGGATTTTACCTCTTTCTGCCAACCCTGGAATCCAGGCTGACAACTTTACCTTATTAAATTGTAGCCCTTATTCCACCTCTTCAAAAAGCATTCTCTAACAAGTGCTCCACTGTCTAGAAGTATATCCCATCTTCTCACTAAACTTCTCTGAGGTTTTCATTTGGACATACCAGTGGCTCTCAACCTCGGGCAATTTTACCCCTCAGGAGACATTTAGAAACATCTGGAGACATTTCTTGTTGTCACAAGGGGATTGGGGGGATGCTACTGGCATCTAGTGGGTAGAGGCTAGGCATGCTGCTTAACATCCCATAATGCACAGGACAACCCCCACAATTAAAAAAAAAAAAAATCTGGCCAAAAACATCAATAGTGCTATGGTGGAAAAACCCTGATAAACATAGTTCTTCATACTTAGAAGGAGCCCTGGTGGTGTAATGGTTAAGTGCTTGGCTGCTAACCAAAATGTCGGCAGTTTGAACCCACCAGTGGCACTGTGAGAGAAAAGACTTGGTGATCTGCTCCTGTAAAGATTATAGTCTAAGAAACCCTATGGGGCAATTCTACTCTGCCCTACAGGGTCACTATGAGTCAAAATCCACTTGATGGCACGCAACAACAACAATTCATTTGTAGTCCTATTACAAATTCTTCAGTGTTGGAGGCAACACGTGACCTTCACAGAGAACCCAACTCCAGAACGTTACATCTAACCTGTAGTCCCAGTTGCTCACATGTCCCATACCCCTAGAACCAATGAACAATGGAATGACACAGAAGAAAGAGCACGCCACCTGGAGCTCCATGGCTGTAGGGGTCTTATCCAGTCAGTTTATGTTCCCAGCACCCCGTCTGGCAAAAAGCTTAGCTGAAAATAAAGAAATCATGTGGTTCTCCTAACTGTCCCTTGGTGGTGCAAATGGTTAAGGTGCTCAGCTGCTAAGTGAAATGTTGGAGAGAATCCAGACTACCCAGAGATGCCTCGGAAGAAAGCCCTGGCAATTTACTTCTGAAAAATCAGCCATTGAACAGCCCAGTAAAACCATGAGAGTAACGAGGTACAGGAGTCCAGTGACAAGGCCCAGAAGGCAGAAGGGGAGTAGGAAGCTGATGATAGGGAACACAAAGTAGAGTAAGGATATTGTTGATGTGTTGTGAGATTGTTAACCATTGTCATAGGGCAACATTTGTAGTAACTGTTAAATGGGAGACTATTTTGTCCTGTAAGCCTTCACCTTAAGTGAGAATAACAGCACAATTAGAAGAGCGTAGTCAATGTCACTTAAATGTGTATGTAAAAAAAAAATTTTTGAAATGGCGTATCTTTGGCTATGTGTATTTTCACAAAAGAAAAAAAAAAAGTTGAGAATTTAGAGGGTTAAAATGTTGTGGGGTTGTTAACCAATGTCATAAAACAGCATGTGTGTTACTGTTACATGAGAAACTATCTGTTCTGTAAGCCTTCACCTGAAGTACAATAAAATATTTAAAAAAAAAAAAAAAAAATCAGCCATTGAAAACCCTACGGAGCACAGTTCTACTCTGACACACATGGGGTCTCCATGAATCGGAACTGGTACTAATTTTACCCTAGAAGTTCTTATAGGTTGCAATGAGAATGTTGACTCCTGCATCAAACATCTGCTGTATGACATTCTTAGAGCAGCAATGTCATTTTCCTGGCTTATGGCTTTACATAATACGCTGTGTTTCTTTTTTCTGGGGGGGAGGGTTTCTCTCAAAATTCACTCAACAGATATTTGAGGGTCTACTCTATGTCAGGAGTCCCTGGGTGGTGCAAACAGTGAAGCACTTGACTACTAGCTGAAAGGTTGGCAGTTCGAACCCACCCAGAAGTGCCTTGGATGACAGGCCTAGTAATTTGCTTCTGAAAGGTCACAGCCTTTGAAAACACTATGGAGCAGTTCTACTCTGCATACATGGGGTTACCATGAGTTGGAATTGACTTAATGGCAACTAAAATTAGAACAACACTCTCTCACCAGCACGACATGACTAGATGCTGGAAATAAAGACTGAACAAAGGGGTGACAAATAAATAACCAGGCAATTGTAATATGCTGGAGTGGTTGTATTAATTGAAGAACCTAGAAAGACAATCTAGCCCCAACTTGGGAACCAGGTAAAGTTTTTCGAAGAAGGGACAACTATGGAATATGGTGAGGAATGGAGTGGTGAGGGACGTTGGGGAGACCCAAGCTGAAGATAGGGGTCAGAAAGGAAATGTTGCAGGCAGAAGGGATATCTATGGTGAGGGTTTGGAGTCAAAGAAAACACATTCAAGGCAGGAAAGCAAAAGAAGAACAGTTTGCTGGAATGTCCAGATGTTATTTGGGGTGGCGGGCGGGGTTGGGCAGAGTCAGGCATGGTTAAGAAATCTAGGTTTAAGAGAAACGCACCGAAGGATTCCAAGCAGAAGGAGGGGTCGTGGTTTTCTCTAAAGGATGCTATTTTCTCCTTAATCTGTTCACCTTAAGGACTTTGCACATATACAAAGAACGTAACCTCAAAGAAAGAAAGTTTGGTTTCCCAAGTGTTAATATTTGGTCCATGACTGACTCAATATCATCAATACGTAAACATGACATGGTTCTGGGGCTTTGCTAGCTCTTTCTCAGAGTCACGCATTTTCTGGAGCAGGAAAGGACCTGGGAGATCAGCTTGCATTCTCTCTGAGCTGCCTGTTTACTGTTTGCTATGCAGTTTCAAATGTGAGGTCGTTAGAGAGCCACTTCACTGGCGGTTTGAAACATTCTGCCATGTGGTTTCACACCAGAAAATGTTAACATGAATACCACAACCGTATTATTGTGCCTAAACAAGTAATACTGCAAAGTCTCAATTTTTAAAGGGCTGTCTGATTTGTGGCCTCCAAAGTATCTTAGTTTGTTCCAAATTACTTATAGACTTCTTCCATTCACAGTCTTACTTGTTGCCTTTATTAAGAATAATCATGGTTTGACCCAAGGCTCTGCCAGTGGCACCACCGTTCACCTGAGTCTTCATCAGTCACATCTCTGAATGAAGGGGATGGGTTTATATACATATTTATATAGCTTTTAACTTAGTAGTCAGTGCAATAAACAAAATTTCTACCTTTTGGGCTTTTAATCTGTGATGATATTATATATGATAGCAACTCAAAGCCCTCTTCTTATAATGTTTTAAAAAAAAAGTTTATCCTAAAAAACTTAAAAGAGTTGCAAGTTGATTTCCTGGGACTTGCAATTAAATATTTGCTTAGATTAAAAAAAGAGAGTGCAATTTAGCCAACAATTTCATTTATAAACTGGATTTTATACATAGAAATAGGCCGAAGAAGAGCTGAGAAAGAGGGTGTTGCCGAGATGAAAAGCAAGGCACCACATGGGAAGTGAGCAAGCTGCAACAGGCTGTGATAAAAAGACACAATTGACACCACCCTCTCCTGCCTAGGGGCAAGACCAGCTCATCATTTATATGATTTAAATGCAATATTCCATTTGCTGAACTAGAGAGAGACCGAATAAATGAATTCTTCTTTGCCATCTCCTGATCAGGGCTGTCTTTCTAAAATTCACAGAAGTCCTAATAAAGAAAAGAAGGGGAAAAGAGGCTCTTTCGCCATTAAGTGATCAGAACTAACTCTTTCTAGGAGCTCAACAAGTTTGTCTTTATCTCCTTCTGCGTCTTCTCTACCTAAGAGGTTCCAGGTCATTTTGTAAAGTCCCATTCCATCCCCACCATTCTGTGAGGCCTCCAAGACCACTCAGAAGGACCATTCCTTCGGGCTGGATGCCCTTGGTGTCTGTGACAGTGTTTGATATTTATCACACGACCTTTTATGACAGAGACCATTTCTTAGAGTTCATCTTGCCCATATCAACTATAGGATAGTACGTACATACAAACTTAATGATACTGGTCAAATAAGTTGGTTTCACTTATTACCTTGGCTCACGCATGTACACACAAATTTGTCTTTTTTAAAAAATAGAAGCTTACTCTGGAGATGGCTAACTGTGTTTCTGTGTTTCTGCTTGATGGAGAGGAGGGTGACGGCCTTGACGGACCTCAGATATTATTTGGGTGGGCAGGGTGGGTGCGTTTGTGTGTGATGACCTCTCCTACCTGTCATGGGACAGTTTCAGCTGCTGAGTTTGCTGCTCATGAGCGTTGATTAGCAGCTTTTTCAACAGTTCGCACTGCTGGCTGAGATGCAGGTCGCGGATTTCTTGCTCCTCAGCACTGTGGGTGTTGATCATTTCTGACCACTCTTTGGTGTGCTGTGCCACAATCTCCTTGACCTGTTCAGACAAACGAGATGATGCCACCTGGGTTTCTCAGGGGTCAGGGGTGAATCAAAAGCACAATATTATTCATGCATTTCAGACCCCTCCCACCAATTACTTGGTGAATCAGTAGACATTTACGACCTGCTAAAATCATATGTAGTAATCAATGGGAATCAAGACGTTATTGCATATAAAAATACATCAATCACTTCAGCTCTAAATATTTAATAGTGATGTGCTATTTCACTGACTAACTTGCCCACACCCTGGTCTGTCTGGGCCTTGGACTCCTTCAACCAGCTCCATCAGAATTCTCTTCATCATCTCATGCTTTTCCAGGGTCACTTCCACAAGGCCACAGGTCTTTTAGTCCTGGATCGTGACTTACGGTGTCAACCCTATTTGATGTTGGAGTAGAAAGTCTCTTCCCTCCCCTGTATCCATACTCTTTACAATGTGGCTATGCAGCTTCTCCCATCAAGTGGGAGAGTCTATTTCTCCATCTCCTGGAAGCTGGTTGGCCTTGTGAGTTGTTTTATCCAATGGGACGGTAGCAAATGTGACACACGCAGATGCTTGAAAAGTGCTTGCTCTTTTGCTACACTTAGAACTTTGAGGCCACCAAGTGAATGAGCCCGTGCTAGCCTGCTGGAAGATGGCAGGTCATGTAGAATAAAAACAGCTAGCAGCCAGCCAACCAACAGACATATGAGTGAGGCCATCCACCTCCAGCTGCCTGTAGACTCATGAGTGAGCCCACCAAAATCAGCAGAAGAACCACCCAGGTGAGCACAGCCCAAGTTTCTGACCCATTGAATTATGAACTAATAAATGGTGGTTGTTTTAAGCCACTATATTTTGGCATGGTTTATTATGCACCAAAAACTAATAGTTGCCAATGTTTCCACTTTCCTATTTATGAACAGCACCTAAAAAATCATAGCATGCTGCACAAGCACTAATTCTCAAACATGCCTGTCAAGAGGGGAGAAAGCAAGTGGGGAAAAAGTTCCCTCAAAGACAGAGGGCTCAGTGCCTCTATAGACTTCATGGCAGAATTGACACAAAATACAAAGTCCCAAGAACCTGAGCTTGAAGAACTTGGCTGGTCCATGTATGTGGCAAGGCCACTAGGCTGGATAATAGAACTGCATGTGGACATAGGCATATGGCTGCTTGACCAACAGCTATAGTTAGGGCCTTCCTTCAAGAGTTCTTTATTTTCTCCCTTTTCTTTTAAAAACTGTTGTTACTGGAATAATTGTTTGTGTTCTCGATTGGGACTTAGCACTCAGATATTACATGTCCCAAACTTAATAAGGTCCCCTAAACTCCTATTTTCTTGTGTCTTTGGGGAAATCTGAGTAATTAGGATCATCTCCTAGAACATCAACTCTGGATTTTTTCTTTTTTCCTCACCTCAAAACTTCTACAGCAAAGTTAGGAGACAGTAAGCACTCGAGAGTCACTCAACCCCTAAGCTGGGTGGGTTTCTGCCATTTGTTTAGTTTTACTTCTATAGGGAAGCATGTTTTGTACATTATATAACATTTCTTGTTATCCTATCTATTTATCCTTTCATTTGATGCTCATGAGAACCCTCTGAGGCTAACAACATAGATATTGTGGGCCTATTTCTACAAAGGAAAGATATTTCATGAAATATCTCCTACAACAGCTCCTGAGTCCAGGGCAAACGTGAGCCCCTGGGTCCCCTGACTTCTCAGACCAGCCTCAGGCTGCTGTTATGTCTCATTTATACAAGGTACCAGTTCAAAAAAAAAAAAAAAAAGAATACAGTGTCTTCTGCAAGCAGCTGCTGCGAAAATGAGCACTTTCTTACCTTAGATTTGTGATCTGATGTCAGTGTCTGAATTTTAATTTCGGTTTCTTTTTTCATTTCGAGACAATTATTTCCTCTGCAAATGGAAAATTGTAAATGATGCCACAAGTTAGATAGCTTCGCATTCCAAGGCCCTTTGCTACAAAGCTTTCTGATGAAGACAATATGTTCATCAAACATGGAACGCCATGGCTCACTGGGCAGTATCAGTTTTTCTAGTAATAAATAGATTCATACCTTACAAACTACCATCCGTGCCATGATTAGTCAATTCAGCCACTTCACGGAAAGACACTTCAGCCCTAACAATTATTTCATTGTTAGGGGTCTCTTGTCAGAGTTTCCATTTTGGTTCCTGTTTTTCTTCAAGCTCTTTTTCACTTAATAAAACATTATTTGAGATGAAAACTGGAAAATAGGTCCTCCGCCTCAAAGTGAAATTTTTAATTCTTCCGTTCTGGTTGTAAAGCCAGATTTTTGTCTTTGAAACTTGCCAGAGAAGGAGAAAATAGCATTTCTTGGCATTCTAGGGTAATTCTTCCTTCTTATTCTATTCTAAGTAGGAAATATATACTAGGCATTTGCCCAGCAACCATTATTGCTTATTTCGGTGGTTATTTTTTCCTTTTGCAATATCCATGTCGCTGCTGAAACCAGAACACGTCCCGAGCTTCTGTTTGCAGCATGTATACCCTGATTTATGATAGCCTAAGTCAGAAGGCTTCATTTCAGTATTAATGGCGAGTTTCTACGAGAACCATTACATTTAGTCTAACAATGCTGGGTCTCTCATCAAATCTATTACCTCTTGATGGCTGGCACTGAGTATATTTCTCCCATAGTCTCTTATTCAGTGGACTTGTAGCATTACTGACACCTCCCCCTGGGTTAATTCTAACCAAAATCTTTCACAGTAAATGCAATGATATGTTTTAGTCAACAGTCTTATCTGTTGACATAAGCTAAGGAGTTCTGTAATATTAAAAAGCAAGATTGTATTTTTCCCTTCTAGTGCATCAACCTTATTATTTATTTTCTGGCTGTGCAAAATGATTCCCGTAATTTTGAATTTTCCCAACTTCAGCTTGTCCTGTCTTCCCCCTCCTCCCCATTCACCATCTCCCCATCACTTTAATACCCAGGTTCGGGGGCTAAATAGCTCATGCAGACCAATTTACAATTAATCGAGTATTATTTTGGTACCCCACTTTACCTTTGAGAGTAAAAGCTATGAGGCAAAGATCCATTTTAGCCATTCCTTAATTGATGCCTAAAAGCAGTGCTCATGATTCATTGATTAAAAAAAAAAAAATTCATTTTTTATCTAAGAAACTTATTACATGGGGCTTGAGTCTGAAATCTCCTAAATAAAAAATCTAGTTTGAAACACTAAAAGAAAATTTCAGTACAGCCATTCACAAAAATAAGACATTTTTTGAACAGATGACTTGTGAATAAAAATAACTTTATGTTTCTTGGAGAGTACTATATTTTGTTAAAAGTTTACTTTCTAAAGACATGGTGTTAGAGTCTATGACTATGTCCTTCTAACATTTTAGTATAAAATGTCATTGAAAATAAAAAAAAATAGTGTACAAAAAAATATGCCAAAGCTTCTGATATAATCAGAAGTCTAGAAGGGTCAAAGCCTATTGCTGCTGAGTTGATTCCGACTCATGGAGACTCCATGTATTACAGAGTAGAACTGCTCAAAAGGGTTTTCTTGGCTATCAGCTTTATGGAAGCAGATCACCAGGCCTTTCTTCCATGGCTCTGCTGGCTGGGTTCAAACCAACAATCTTTATGTTAGTAGTCAAATGCAAACTGTTTCCACCACCCAGGGACTTAGAAGGGTCACAGCTCCTTCAAACTCATTATGTTTACCACCAATAATGTTATGTAAGCCTGCGATGTGTGAAAAATACACACTGAAATGTTCTCAAAGCAACAGGCACGTGTTTCTGCCTCAGTGATACGCAGTGAAAACACTTAGGGAAAATAAAAGCCAGATTTTACTTAATCATGGATGCTCAATAGTTAATGATTTGTACTTTTCTGGAGATATACATATAACCTTAGTTATATTTAGTACTTATAATGAATTAAAAGATTTCAAGAAACTCCGCTGAGAACCTTCCCTAAACTATAGCTAAGCTGACCGACTCTTGACCTGTTATGATGTTACAGTGTTTAAAATGAACGAGTCTCTTATTTTCTAGGAATAAGTTTTAATGATGAAAACAGAGTCAAGACTAAGTTCTCTCTTGATCTAAACAGGCAACTGAATTATGGTAAAGACAAAGTATAACACTGCTTCTAACCGAGGGAAAAAGCCTTCAGAAGGAATTAAATGGTATTTACCCCTTCTTCTTCATTGCCTTCTCTAGGATTTTCTCATGAGTCGACTTCTCTTTGTCATACTGTGCCACAATTTTGTCAACTTGCGTGCAGTGTAACTTCTGCATAGTACTGTGCTCCTGAACAAGAAGAATTTGCAGTTACAAGTTGGAATATTAATGTAGCTGATAAAGTTAATAATATGTTGGGTTGGCATAGTTTTCATCAGCTTTTCTAGACTCTTGATTTGGAAAGTCAAGGAGTAACTGAGTCTGAGAATTGGAAGGACTTCCAATCTCCAACCTCCCATCCAACACAAGAGTTTCTTGCACAGGGGCAGCCCAGCAAGGGAGTCTCTAGCCTTGTTGTAATGAGCATGCCCACCTCACAAGGCAGCCTTACCCAACACTGGGCAGCACCAATGATCCTGAAGTCCTTTCTTCTATACACACGTCTTCATCTAATTTACACCTATTCATTTCTCACTATTTTTTTTTTAATTGTACTTTAGATGAAGGTTTACAGAACTAGCTTCTCATTGAACAGTTAGTACACATATTATTTGATGACATTGGTTAACAACCCCAAGACATGTCCATACTCTCCCTTCTCGACCTTGGGTTCCCTATTACCAGCCTTCCTATCCCCTCCTGCCATCTAGTCCTTGCCCCTGGGCTGGTGTGCCCCTTTAGTCTCGTTTTGTCCTATGAGCCTGTCTAATCTTTGGCTAAAAGGTGAATCGCAGGAGTAACTTCATTACTGAGCTAAAAGGGTGTCCGGGAACCATACTCTAGGGGTTTCTCCAGTCTCTGTCTGGCCAGTAAATTTGGTCTGTTTTTGAGTTAGAATTTTGTTCTACATTTTTCTCCAGCTCTGTCCGGGACCCTCTATTGTGATCCGTGTCAGAGCAGTCAGTGGTGGTAGCTGGGTACCATCTATTTATACTGGACTCAGCCTGGTAGAGGCTGTGGTAGTTGTGGTCTATTAGTCCTTTGGACTAATCTTTCCCTTTTGTCTTTAGTTTTCTTCATTCTCCCTTGCTCCTGAAGGGGTGAGACTAGTGGAGTATCTTAGATGGCCACTCACAGGCTTTTAAGACCCAAGATGCTACTCACCAAAGTAGAATGTAGAACATTTTCTTTATAAACTATGTTATGCTAATTGAGCTAGATGTTCCCTGAAACCATGGTCCCCACAGCCCTCAGCTCATTAATTCGATCCCTCAGGGAGTCTGGATTTATCCATGGAGCTTCCATGACCTTACCCTGAACAAGTTGTGCTGGCTTCCCCAGTATCGTGTACTGTCTTACCTTTCACCAAAGTTACCACTTATCTATTGTCTATTTAGTGTTTTTCCACTCCCACCCTTTCCCTCCCTCGTAGCCATCAAAGATTGTTTCTTTTTGTGTGTAAACCTTTTTCTTTTTTTTATTGTGCTTTAAGTGAAAATTTACAATTCAAATTAGTCTCTCATACAAAAATTCATACACACATTGTTATGTGACCCTAGTTGCTCTCCCTATACTGTGACAGCACACTCCTCTTTCCCACCCTGGATTTCCCGTGTCCATTCAACCAGCTCCTGTTCCTCTCTGCCTTCTCATCTCGCCTCCAGATAGGAGCTGCCCATTGAGTCTCATGTATCTACTTGAGCTAAGAAGCACACTCTTCATGAGTATCATTTTATGTCCCACAGTCCAGTCTAATATTTGTCTGAAGAGTTGGTCTTGGGAATGGTTTTAGTTTTGGGCTAACAGAGAGTCTGGGGGCCATGTTTTCCAGGGTCTCTTTGGTCTCAGTCAAACCATTAAGTCTGGTCTTTTTACTAGAATTTGAGTTCTGCACTCCACTAGTCTCCTGCTCCATCAGGGATTCTCTGTTGTGATCCCTGTCTGGGCAGTCATTGGTGGTAGCTGGGCACCATCTAGTTCTTCTGGCCTCAGGCTGACGGAGTCTCTGGTTTATGTGGCCCTCTCTGTCTCTTGGGCTAATATTTTTCTTGTGTCTTTGGTATTCTTCATTCTCTTTTGCTCCAGCTGGGTTGTGACCAATTGATACATCTTAGATGGCTGCTCACTAGATTTCAAGACCCCATACACCACTCCTGTGTGTAAATCTTTTCATGAGTTTTTACAGTACTGGTCTCGTATAGTATTTGTCCTTTTGTGATTGACTTATTTCACTCAGCATAATGCCCTCCAGATTCATCCATGTTGTGAGATGCATCACAGATTCAACATTGTTCTTTATCGTTGCATAGTACTCCATTGTGTGTATGTACCACAGTTTGTTTATCCATTCATCTGTTGATGGGCATCTAGGTAGTTTCCATCTTTTTGCTATTGTGAACAATGCTGCAATGAACATGGGTGTGCATATGTCTATTCGTGTGACTGCTCTTATTTCTCTAGGATATACTCCTAGGAGTGTCCACCATTTATTTTTGTTCTGCTGTGAGATATCTAATTAGTCTACTGTCCCCTTCACACACGGATCCTCAAACACCTAAGTTCAGCTGCATATTTCTTGTTTTTTACATGCTAAATATAACTATTCGTCATGTGACATAGTATCGAATGACTTGGCAATTTTGGGAATCTCTGAATGCCATCACTACACAATGCAACTTAATATTGTGATTGTCATCATCAGCTGATTTTGACTCCACATCATTTGATATTTTCACTGACTTCCTTATCTAGATGAATTCAGGAGGATGACAGAGTGTTCAGGAACTCTGGGCTTCAGTTTTGTAAATATTTAAAATATCTTCCCATCTGCCTCATTTAACACTGAAACTGGGGCTGCAATACTTTGAAAATCAGTATTTCTTTATAAACATTATTTCCTCCTGGCCAATAAGAAAGGCATTTTACCACAACCAGTGACTTATCTGAAATCAGATTTCTTTGGCTGCTCAGCCTCCTAAACATAAAGGACATCAGTACGAGCAGTAATATTCAAATCTAAAGGACACTTGATAGTCTATCCTAGTCTTACTCTTGAGAAAGTTAGAGAAATGGGGCTGTATTGAGACTGGAATGGAAAGATGTTGTTCAGATTATATAACTACCCTTATGATCATATTTCCTTTTGTTCATTAAAAAATGTGAGTTAAAAAAAAGTGACTTAATTTAAAAAATTTTTTTTATTTTCTTCCTAAGGAAGGCTCAACTTTAAGCAAACCTAATTCATAAAATCTTTAAAAGATTTCATAAAATGTAAACAGGGAGGGATTCTTAACTTTAACCAGTTGTCATTAAGTCGATTCCAACTCATGGCGACCCCATGCATCACAGTAGAACTCTGCTACATAGAGTTTTCAATGGCTGATTTTTTGGAAGTAGATCACCAGGTCTTTCTTCTGAAACACCTCTGGGTGAACTTGAAGCTCTAATCTTTTTTGTTTTATTTATTTTTATCATTTTCTTTTTTTAGTGCACTTTAGATGAAGTTTTACAGAGCAAATTAGTTTCTCATTTAAATAATCACTACATACACTGTTTTGTGACATTGGTTGCCATTCCCACGACATGTCAACACTCTCTGCTTCTCAACCGAGGATTCCCCATTACCAGCTTTCCTGTCCCCTCCTGCCTTCTTGTCCTTGCCCCTAAGCTGGTGTGTCCACTTAGCCTCATTTTGTTTTATGGGCCTGTCTAATCTTTGGCTGAAGGGTGAACCTCAGGAGTGACTTCAGTACTGAGTTAAAAGGGTGTCCGGGGGAATGTCCCACATTTTGTTTAGCAGCCAAGTGCATTAATTGTTTGCACCACCCAGTGACGCCTTAACTTTACCAAGACTTGATTTCCCAGCTTTGTTAGTGAATTGACATAGGGCTTGATCTACGATTCGTTTACACACGAATTCTTCAGAAATGCATTTGTTGCATAAAGCATGTGCAGAAGCTTCCAGAATTCTTGTCGAGTGAATAAATGCCTCTGGGAATGGCTGCGGAGGAAGGTGATGCTGAGGGAAGTTTCCTGGAACAGGAACTGATAATCAGGCCAATGGTGGTGGTCAGAGGTCATGTTATCTTGCTGTGGATTTGGGGCAGGGAGTCATATGTAACAATGTTTTACCTGATTTGTGGTTAGAACACCCCATAAATCTACTCATGTTACCAATGTGTGTGCATCTTTATGTTAGAAACAAATTTCAATCAGGGCTCCTACAAGATGGCACTGGGCTAAGGACATGGTTTCTTCAATCTCAAGTCCTGGGACAAGTCACTTACCCTTTCAGATTCCATTCATCTTTAACGTTGGGATGATACTGAATTCAAAGCGTTGTTAGGATTAAAAGTAAATCTAATATAAATCATATTTCAAATGCTTGTTATACCTTATTCAAAATACAGTAACATACTAACCTGTTTATACTACTCAATACCTATTCAATATCCATGATAATATACAGAGTATGACTTGAAATAAGGAACATCATTCAGGCTAATTAAATCAACAAGCCTTTCCTCCAAGCTTAATCTACTGCCCCGGGAATAGATCAACAGATTGATGTATCTTTATTTGAATAGACTTACTTACTTTTGCAATATCTCCAGGAAAAAAAAAAAAAACTACGTAAAGGGTCTGTTACTAGTCTTCTTCATAAGATTTAGAAGTCACCGTGCTTGGTTAGCACATATGTTAATTTTCCTAGGCAAATAAATAAGAGGCTCTTTGCAAGTCTAGATTAAAATATACTAGAGGTACCGCATTCCTAGGTCTTTTGCAAATATCATTGAAAGGAAGGTAGGTAAGATTGTTTCTTCAAACATTCTAGTACAGCAGAGGAAAAGTAAAGGCTTTGGTGCTTGGAAGAAAGCTAACACAGACTTGAGGAAATATTCTGGTGAACCTTATCAGTCTTGTTAGATATGAGGAATGAGGCTGTGTTTGTACCATTCAAGGTCTTCATGATGGATTAAACTCTAAAATATCATCTATAATGGTAGACCAAACTGTCTTTGTTCACCAGTACATAGCCTAAAACCTGATACAAAGTAGATGCTCAATAAATATTTGTTGGGTGAATAAAAAATTAGCATGAAAAAGTAGCAAGAAGAGTCAATAATAAGCCAAGTCGACTCATGCAACTTATATAAATTTTTCCAAGTCTCGATTTTTCATTAGAAAAT